GCTATTAACAGTGACATTCCGTGCTTTTTTTCTCATCTGCGGATTAAGAGGAAGAAAATATATACTTTTTGTGAAAAAAAAATCTGAACTTCTGTTAGATTCTTAGTAAATGTTAGTGCTTTCTCTTCCTTTAAACAGCTAAAAAGAAGTATAGTATCTATAATGAGTTACACTATGATACTGTACATTCTGTAGAAGTGCAGGAAATAATTACTTTTACTCTAGAATAATAATGTAAGGAATTATGAAGGATTTAGCCTTTCAGCTGGATCTCACAGAGAACGGTCCAAGGGAGAGAAAAAACAACTGATCAAAGGCGTCAAAGTAGAGAAATACTGAAAGTCTACAAAGTGTAAAGTGTAGGGTTGGTTTGGGGCAATAGTGATGTAAAAATGAAAGTGTATTTTAGAATCTAACATTTAAGCCATGTCATTTCAGACTTTGCTTAGAACACCTGGGAGGTAAAGTTGAGACTGGAGCAGTGCTTTAAAAAGATTAGATTGGTGCTGGTGTGCCATTGGTGCTGTTGGAGGACTTCATGTCTGGAGGTGGTAGCCATTTAGGAGATTTGCAGTTGATATAAGTAGAAAATAAGGGAATGTGAATAAGGAAGGATTAAGAATTGTTGCAAAGAGTTCCACTCAACATGGCGGAATAGACGGTTCCTAGTGTCACTCTCTCCCACAAATCAACCAATTTACAACTATAAAAATGTAACATCAGCCAAGCTGGGGCCGCTGGAGCTCACGGGAAGAGGAGCAGAGAGCTACAGAGTTCATGAAGGTGGGAGAAACCATGATGAGAGAAAAAAAACTGAGTATTTTGGGCCACAGCCACTTTAATGCTGAAACTGATGAGCACATGGAGCTCATCCATGGAGCTGGCAGAAGATGCAGCTGTGCCCTTCAGATGGAGTTACTTGGAGGTGGCAGGGGAGAAGGAGGCCTTGGCAGCCCCCAGTATAGCGAGACCACTAATAGGTTTCCTAAAGACCCATGCAGGAGCAAGGAGCCAGAACAAATGAAAAAAGGGAGCCATTCAGAGGCCAGTGAGTCATCACAAGGGACAGGACCACTCAGAGGAGATTGGTCAGGAATGCAGAATTGCATGGGGTGCAATTTGATGAAAAAACTCAGGCCCAGATAGAGTTTCTACACAAACCAGATCCACCGGGTCTCTGGAGAGCCGAAAGTACCAATAAGGTTAATCATTAAACCCTAAGCTGCACAAAAAGCCTCCCCTAGGGAAACAGCAGCAAAGCCGCAATTTAGCTCAAGCACACAGATCAAGTACTGGTTCCCACAGGAAGTTCCCCCGTTTTAGAAGTAAGCAAAGGACAAAAAATTAGTTCCGGCCCAGGCACACCACCAGCGCCTTGGGGCCTGCCTGGGAACTGGAGGCCTGGAGCTGGGGACCAGACCCCCCTCCCACAACCAGGCACACCGTGCCAGCACATTGTGGTCCCCCTGGTGACCTGGGGCATGGAGAAGGGGACCAGACCCCCCTCCCACACCCAGGCATACCACGCCAGTGCCTCGGGGCCCACCCAGGTACCCCCTCCCATGACAAGGCACACTGTGCCAACACATTGGGGCCCACCTGGTGACCCGAGGTATGGAGTGGGGACCGGGCCCCCTCCCCACAACCAGGCACACCACACCAGTGCCTCAGGGCCCTCTCAGGCACACCACACCAGTGCCTTGGGGCCCGCCTGGAGACCTGAGGCATGGAAAAGTGGACTGGAACCCCCACCCACAATCAGGCACATGGGGCTTGCTCTGTGACTGGAGGCATGGAGTCAGAGACTGGACCTCCTTCCTACAACCAGGCACACCATGCCAGCACCTCGGGGCCCACCCAGGGACCCAAGTCATGAAGAAGGGGACCGGACCCCCTTCCCACAACGAGGCACATCGTACCAGTGCCTCGGTGCCTGCCCAGGGACCCAAGGCATGGAGAAAGAGACTGGACCCCCTTCCCACAACCAGGCACACCAGCACCTTGGGACCCACCTGGGTACCCAAGAAATGGAGAAGGCAACCAGACCCCCTTCCCACAACCAGGTACACCCTGCCAGTGCCTTGGGGCCTTCCTGGTGACCCTAGACATAGAGTTGGGGAGTGGTTCCCCCTCCCACAACCAGGCACACCACGCCAGTACTTCGGGGCCTGCCAAAAACATCACTATCATGTGGGTGGCCCACCACAGCCACCACAATAACCATGGCTTCTGTGAAAGCAGCTAGATGCCACAACCACCACACATATGGTCTGCCAGCCACTAGAGTGCACTGACACAAGGAGAGTCACCAGCAGAGATAAAGAAAAGAGAATGTCTCTCTCTACAAAGCCCATTTCAGAGTGACAGAAGAAGCATTTGCTCTATGATAATATTGGGGGACCTGATCACACCTCTCAGCATTGGACAGATCATCTAGGCAACAAATCAACAGAGTAACCATTATTCTTTCAGAAGGAGAGAAGAAATCTAGGGTAATTAGAGGGGGGAGGGGGAGGAATAGGGGGATGAGAGGAGATTGGACAAAGGGCATAAAGAATAATTATGATCTGTAACAATATATCTGCTAGTAACGTTGATCAACATATCTCAATGTTGAACCCCCAAAATATGTATAGTCAATTTTGATTCAATTAAATAAAATTTTTTAAAAAAAGTCAGCTCATAAAAAAAAGAACTGTTGCAAAGAGAAAATGAGAGTTATTGTAAAGGGAAATTGATAGCATTTAGTAATGTTTATGATAAGGGCAAATGGAAGATCCAAAGCCTGGGAGACTGAAACAATGGTGACAGCATCAAAAAAAGGAAATTTGTCAGATATAAGGTGTAAGATAATGTTTAGTATTATGGAGTTGGGTTATTGGAGTTGGGTTATGGAGTTGGAGTTTAGTATTATGGAGTTGAGGTGTTAGTCAAATACTTAGATTATTAGGGTCGGAGAGAATTCCTTACCTTTCTGTAGAGTTGACAGTTGAAGCTGTGGGAATGATAATGAGATCTCTGAAATGGAGAGAACAGAAATAAAAATAGAAGGGTGAGAAAGAACTTTCAGGATTGGGAGGAGGAATTGGAGAGATTGCACATGAAAAACAAAAAAGGAAGGAAATCAAGAAGGGTATTTCTGGGTGGCAGATATGGTCTGTGAATGTTACTGAGGGATTGAATAAAAGGGATCAGAATTGTTCTGAAAGCTTTGTAAACTATTTCTAAAAAAAACAAGGGCCGGCCTGTGGCTCACTTGGGAGAATGTGGT